CAAGTTTCCCCTAGAACTCCCCTTACTTCTCGTGAGATGAAAAATCACATTTGCTTCTAACCTGAAACAGAGCTTACCCTGGTGGTTTTATAATACCGAGTTCCTTGTGTGAATCTATCATGTTTCCCTCCAAAACATGAAACACAATGGGAGGTCTTTTCAGGATATTGACATGGCCAACAGAGCATTGCAGTGTTTTAAGAGGATATTTAGCATGTCTCCATGGCTAATTGCTTTTTCTCTGTGCATAAAGTCTAACTACTAGTTAACTTCAAGTCTATGCTTGGATCCACTTTGCTTCTCTAACTTTACTTATTCACCATTTCCAAGATAATTGTACACCCTAGCCATTCTCTGTGCTCCCTTCTTTCATGAACACAGCATTTTTATCCCCCAAAATGCCTTTCTAATCAGGTTTTACTCCAGTACCCACTTCATATTCAACCCCTAGACTTTCCTATATAGAGAGAGCATCTCTTGGTTAAATAGCATTTCTACTATACCTTTGCTGAGCCACCTCCAATAGCAAATGCATCTTGAATTTATCTATCCAACATCTGCTTCCTATGTTTCTTAATGGTGGCACCCCAAGTTTCATTGGTGGAGAAATACCCCTCTTCTGCTAGAGTCAATTCCCATGATTTTAGTCTTTGCTCAAAAGAGAACCAGGACAAAAACAGTCAATGGCTGCTTCAGGAATGGGGACAAATGACCCAATCACAGGAATTAGAACTGTCAAAGAAAGCATTTGCTTTCTATTGGGGTTGACCATGAGACTTAAATCTGGAAATCTTGGCAACCATTGGACCACCAACAAGACGGCCTACGTGGGAATGAAGTCAGCATGAGGCAAAGCAGAAGTGAAAGTGGAGAAAATTAGACCCAATGCTAAGAATACCCTGGATTCCCTGGATCCAGCCTAAACCCAGTTCTGTCTCTGTGGTTTTCAGATGTGAAAGGCATTTCCTCTTTTACTTAAGCCATCATTCTATTCTGTTCATCCTTAATGGTTCAGCTCAAGTGACATCTCCTCCAAGAAGCCTTCTTCATCCACTCCAGTCCTCTCTCTCCTTTTTATCCTGGGGCTATCAGTTTATGATTTGTTTGATATTTTAAATGAGTATCATCAACCCTAAGCGCAGTTTTGCAGTCAGAGGCCAAGTCTCATGGGTCTGTTGTATTCATCTCAAAACTTGGAACAGAGCCTAACACTCTAGACATTTTCTAATTTACTCTATAACGTTTCTCAATAAATGAACTAGAGATGCTTCTTAGGCTGAAGATATTTTGGAGCAGCCTGAGATGCTTTCGGTCTTTTCAAATACAATGTTGTGGGGTTTCTGTTGCCTACCTGCTATGACCCAGTTGTTTGGTTCTCTTGAGAGAGGCCCCCCAAATAGAGTCCCTGAATTCCACATGACTCCTATATACATGGAAGAGACAAAGAAAAAAAGAAGGCCAAAATATTACTCATTAAATTCATAGAGACCAGGGTAGAAGATGATCCACCAGGAAGGGTAGTGTCAGGTGAGATCACTACTACAGAATCCAAATCATGAAGACTTGTCTGTCTTGTCTGGGCAGCACAGTATGAGGGAAGATCTCCTCACCCCAAGAGTGGAAGAGGAAGGAGGGAAATCATGACCCTGTGGACACTTCACTCCCAAGAAGATTAAATTCAGAGTTGAACCGACTGTATCCAGTTCTTCCCCTCATGGTTAGTCAAATGTTATTCTACTTGTCCAAGCAAGGGAAAGCGAGGGGGAAATTTTAAGTGACACATTTGAGGAGTTCCGTCTGCCTTGAATGAAACATTAAGGACAGGGAAGAAGCCTTCTCAGCCTCAATACATACTCCCAGCTGTCTTAGGGGTATTTTCCTGATGAGGCTGCTTGCTAATGGTTGTCTCAAGTTCCTAATGATAAAAAAGAATTCTCAGAAATTTTATGGAAATGGTCTAAGAGGAGAAGTAGACATGGTGTTTCTTCTTATGAAAAAAAAATTTTTTCTCATTACTTTCGTCCTGGATTTTTCTCCTCTATAAAGTTTTCTTTCTAAATCTTTCATTTCCATGTTTTGGGGGACTGTGCTGAAGTGGAATTTTATGCTCCAAGAAGAGAGTTGATGAATCATGGAAAGTGTAATTGACAAAGAATTGGCATGTTTTTCACTTTTCTTTTTTCTGCATCAACTGAATAAGATTAGTGTCTTACATGGATTATTTTTTCAATAATAGGGAAGGCTATGTTGGCAACAAAAATTGCAAAACAGCAACATCATAAGCTTGCCTAACCATCCAGTGGAAGAGAATTTTCAACTTGAAAAACACTCTTGCTTCAGCAAACCAAGGACCTGAGTAACAATTACGACTGAAATCATTAAACGGCCCCGTTTTTTTCTCCGGTGGAGAAATTGGATCCTCTGGGGTTCTTAGAGGGAAAAGCAGAAACATTAGGGGAAGACCTTACATAATAACCTTTCTGTAAAGCTTGGATGGCACAAATGATTTTTTAAGACATTCAAGTCACATGTCATTAATCAGAAATGACAGTCTTTATTCACATATATTTGACTGAGCTGCATAATTTTAGACTCCAATAGGTCTAGATAAATGACCCTAAGTATTGTACTTTTTCAAATTGACAGTGATAGATGAGAGAGGAAAAAAAAAAAAAAAACGAATGCTGAAAGGGGACCCTGAAGTAAACACTGAAAACCCGTTGCACTACTTTGGGGGCAAAGAAGTTGGAGGATTTTCCTCTTTCTTAACATCTCCATTTCATCCATTGGGCATTTCCAGACTCTTCACCGTACAACTCGAATCTCAATGAAAAACGGAGACTCAAGTTAGTGATGTTTGTTCAAACAGGCAGGATGGGAAGATAATAATGATTGATAAAAATCCATTCGCTTGGCAAGTATTTCCTGGGCCTAGGATGTGCCAGACAGTATCATAGGCAACAGGGTTTCAGCAGGAACTAAGATAGATCAAGTTTTGCTTTGGGGGACCTCACATTTTAGGGAGAGAGCTAAGCAATAACCAAGTGAGCAAATAGATAAATGAGATGATTTCAGAGAGTTGGAGGTTGCATAAAGAAAATAAAATAAGATTATTTCATAGAAAGTGATGGGGGGTAGGATTTCATCCGAGAGGTCAAGGCAGGCCTTGCTAAGTTGAATGGCATTATAACCGAGGAAGAGCCAGTTTTTCAAAGAACATTTATGCAGAGGAAGCAGCAAATGCAAAGCCCCTGAGGCAGGGACAAGTTTGGCCTGTGGAAAAGAATAGAAAGGAGGAAAACAGGGTCCCTTTTGTGAGATTGCAGAGAGCACCAGCAAGTCAGGACAGAGAGAGAGAGTCAGGGGCTGGATTATATAAGGCCTTTAGGTCACTATAAAGAATTTCAGTTTGAGGTCATATGAGGTTTTAATAAAGCAGAAGGAAGCGTCCATCTTATCAAAATAATATGGACAATCCATTAAATTCTCACGCTGAAGGGATTGTGCCTGATGTAACAGGTTTCCATGATTATCCAACTCCTTGGGAATAAAGGGTGGTTATCGATGTGTTTTAAAGACAGGAAGACAAGCTCTGAGTGAGGTTTCAGGGCTGCTCCGTCAGGAAGGAAGCTATGATTCAGATGCAAACCTTGCCCCATGCCATTCTTCAGGCAAAAACTGCCCACTAAAGTTGCCCCCACCCTGGGCCCCATCATCTGTATTGTCTCAAATCTTCCCAAAATGTTAAAACCACAACTATACAGTACCATATTTTTGTCCTCAATGGAGATTTGAGAATGTCTGCAAATAGTACATTATGGTATAATACATGAGGTCTACATCAAATGTTTATGTGCATTATAAATATTTCCTCCTTTTGGTTGATGGTTGTATGAGGCTATTTAGTGCTAATTCTCTCCAGGATGTAGCTTTCCTAGATGACTTGAGTGGAAAGCCACAGATAGGAAGGTGTTATCAGACAGCTCTATTCACTAACACATTCAAAGATTTATTGAATGGACATTATGGTTCTAGATATTCAAGATACAGTAGAAAACAAGAGTAAAAATACTCTTCTCATGAAGTTTACATTTTCTAATGGAGGAATTATCTATGAGTCATAATAAAACCAAAATTACTTCTCCAGCCAAACTTCCATGATGCTTTTTAAATCAGATTTCTGTTGCTATGACAAGAAGAACTTAGAGGAGGAAAAGTTCATTTTAACTCACAGTTTCAGGGGTTCAGTCCACCATGACTTGACTCCATAGCTCTGGACCCAAGGTGAGGTTGAGCATCATGGCGGAGGGGCATGGCAGAGCAAAGTAGCTCAGGACATGGCAACCAGAAAGTAAAGAAAGCTTCACTCACCAGGGACAAAATAGAAACCCCAAAGTCAAGCCCCTAGTATCCTACCTCCTCCAGCCACACCAAACTGCCTATGGTTGCTGCTCAGTTAATCCATATCCATGGAATAATCCACTGATTAGGTTATAGCTATCATAATATAATCATTTTACTTCTGAACCTTCTTGCATTGTCTTACACATGAACTTTTGGGGGACACCTCATATCCAAACCATAACAATACTTGTGGACACTCTGACCTTTTTCACCATATCTCTGAAAAAAAAGACATATCTGCTGAATATCGTCGGTATAAGTAAATAAGTAAGTAAATAAATACCACACAATAACAATATCCAAATTTCTTATTGGGTTGAGGTAGAATAATCATAATCAATATTGAGATTGATTTATTAATTTTCTAACATCAATCATAAGTCATTATTGAAAGCATATATTATGATCAAAAGTGCTACTAAGGGAGCTAAAAACATAAGTAATACACAGTTCCCACACTCTGCGAGCTTAAAACTCCACCAAGGATTGCAAACTGAGAATTTGTAGAACATGGAGGATAAAGTGAATGTGGGAGTTCCTTATGCCAAGATTCCAAATTGGAAGACTAGTATTATTTCACAGAGAAGCCACTTAGATCTCATTGGACAGCACAGTCAAATGCAGGGAGGATTGCCTGAATCACATGCACCCACACACAAAGTCCAATAATGGAAAGAGATGTCAGGCAACACAGAGATCCATGCTTAAGTTAACACTTACGCGCACCAATGGTAGGGATTCTGTTAACTTTTGCCTCGTTTAAGATTGTACTTGTTTATCTTTCTTTTGTAAAGGACATTTTCTCTTGATATAGAATCCTAGTTTGTTTTTCCTTTCAGTGTTTCAAAGATGTCATTCTACCGTCTCCTGGCTAGCATCGTGTCTGCTGAGAAGTTAGCATTCACTGTTATCTTGGTTTCCCATTTATAACATGTAATTTTTCTGTGGCTGTTTTTCAAGATTTTTCTCTTTGCCACCGGCTTTCAGAAAATATAAATTTTTGTGTCTTTGTATAATTTTTTATCATGTTTAATGTCTCTTGAATTCCTTGGACTTATACATTTTAAGTTTCTTTGTAATTTGACATTTTTTTCAACATTATTTCTTAAAATCTCTCCCCCCTTTTCCTTCCCTTTTCTGGAACTCAAGTGACATATATGTTGGATGGTTTTAGATCACTCAGGCTCTACTCATTTTCATTTTCAGTCTTTTTTCCTTCTGTGTTTGAGTGTGGTCTGATTGTCTCCAGGTCTTCAAGTTCATTGATCTGTTTTCTTCAATGTCTTAACCTACCATTAAGTGGATCCATTGAATTGTTTATTTCCAACATTGCATTTTTCCATCTCAAGAAATTTCTCTTTTTTTCATTATTTATTTCTCTCCCTGTTATTTGCATGTTTTCCTCCAAATCGATAAGCATATATCATAATAGCTGTTTTCAATCTAATTTACTATTGTCAATCATCTTTTTTGTGAGTTTTGGGTCTGTTTCTATTGGCTGATTTCTCTTATTTATGGTTCCCAGTTTCCTCATTTTTTTTTTCTTTTTTTTTATTGTTGGTCGTTCAAAACATTACACAGTTCTTAATAGTTTCCTCATTTTTATCATATCTATTATTTTAAGTTATATTTTTGGACATTTGGGGTGTTAAAGGTTGAACTTCTAGATGTTGATCACCTTTATTTAAAGAAAGTTGAATTTTTGTTTCAGCAGGCAGTTAAATTTCTTGAAAATCAGCTCATGTCTTTTTAAGTTTGTTTTTAACGTTTGTTGCGGAGGTTGTAGAGCAGCCTGTATTCTAGGGATAGTTTCTATTACTAAGTTATGATCCTTCCGGGGCTTTTACTAAGGTTTTGGATGTTTCATGAGTTTTCTCCGTCTGGTGTGATGAATATGTATGAATAACCCAGAAATTTTATATGGCAGAATGGATAACCAAACAGAGCTAAGAAGCTATAGGCATTATTAAACAGCTAAGCTTAACCATGGTGTTAGCAACCTCCAGAACTCACTCTCCAGTTTTTAATTCCAGTTCAACTGGGGCTTTCTCTTAAGTTTCAACTGAAATCATCCGGATACCCTCAAGACTACCTGGACATTGGAGTCAGGCAAACATTTCTATGAGGACCCTGCATCAGGAAGCCTTTTAAGGGATGTAGACAAACAGCAATAAACTTTAAATGCGGATTTGAAAAATGAGTCATAGGTAAGAAATAAAATGTACAGCTGGGTCAATCTTGGAAATCTTAGTGAAATAAATAGCATTCAATCTGGAATTCTGTTGAACTTCTAACATAATCCATGCAAGATAGGACATTCTAAGTGCCATTTTAAAAAGTACAAATAGGATTGGGGATACAGCTCAGTGGCAGAACACATGCTTAGCATGTGTGAGGCCCTGGGTTCAATCCCCAACACCAAAGTCTAACAAACAAAACAAAACAAATAATTCAGTATAAACTTGAAAAAGAGAAAATGAAATTCTTTTCAAGGCGCTGTGGGACACAAAGAAAAAAAATGACATATTCTCTGCCCCAAGGTAATTTAAAATCTTTAATTGGCACTTTATCAAAACAAGTCCATCTGATGCAAAAAAAGATTGAAACATGTAAGTTTTCAAAGTACTACTAAAAAGTGTTCTTTCCCTTGCATATGAATACCCCTGGGGCAATTTCCCAGAGAATGTTGTGGCCTTGTCAGCCAGCAGTTTCCTGCTCAAACAGCTGTAGACTGTGGCAGCTCAGGGAACCCCTCTGTCATCCAGTGGGTGACACCCTCACCTGCAATCAGGTATGAATCCATCTCAGTCTTGGAGAAGCCCTTTCCCAAATTTATTCCTTCCTGTATTCTTCCTAGTTCTCTTTATCCCTTGTTATCTACTCCCTGAAGCTAGTTAGTAAACACTTTATCTCAAACTTTCCTCATTCAAACTGCTGTATGACTTTGGCCTCTCCACTGGATCCTGACTGATATTGATACCATTTCTATCACATGGAATATATTCTGCCTGGCGTGTCATGTTGTTTGCTAATGTAGGGAAGGCTTTAAGAAACACTAATTTTATTTAACTAAGAGTTTCTTCATTTCTTCTACCACAAGACCTTTTCATAGCTGAGTATCTGAGATTCAAGTACCTGAGAATACACTAGTATTCTATGGATCCATTTGGAAATGCTGCTTGGAGAGTCATTGCTAACCTAATTGTTTCCTAATAAGGTGGACATGCCCACTGCCTCCAAAGGCATTAATTTAAACACAGTACACCTTTTAATACTTGTAGCATTCAGGACAGAGAAACACTAAAAAGTTTATAACAAGTGGAAATGCAAATGTGAAAAAAATGACAGAGGGAATTTTAAGATGCTATGGAAAATTACATCTTAAAGGATGAAGCAATATATATATACTATATTTTTGTGGTGCTGGGGATTGACCTCAGAGCATTATATTTTTATTAAAAATATTTTTTTAGTTTTTAATGGACCTTTATTTTATTTGTGTATTTATATGCGGTGCTGAGAATCAAACCCAGCGTCTCACACATATAAGACAAGTGCTCCACCACTGAGCTGCAACCCCAGCCCCAAGCATTATATCTTAACTGGAGAAAGTATCAGGAAATCATTTTGGAAGCAGAGTCATGTCAATCCAACCTTAGAGAATGTGCAGATTTGGACAGAATTGCGTACAATGGAGTGGGAAAGAAAAAGACAAGTAGAAATGAAAGAGGATGAAAAGAGGTATGGGCGGTAGTCATACTGACCTGTGCTATAAGTGACAAAAATCCAGTTTAATGGCTTAAGCAAAAAAGAGAATTGATTGACATAAATAATGGAGAAGCCCAGTTTATACTGTAGGCACAATGGGACCCACAGACGGAAATCATGCCATCACCCTTAGCTTTGCTCTTTCACCTCTTGGCCTCACCATCCTCGGCACAAAGTCAAACCCACTCATTGGTGGGCAGTGGATGGGAGTGGGGGTGGGGGTTCTCTTCTAGAATTGGCTGCTATGTTTGATCCTGAGTAACCTTTAGTGGAAAAAGGAACATCCCATTCCCTATATCCACCTCTAAGCCTCTTTCTATGGCCAGTGAGATGTGACCCTCTCTTTGGTCTGGTTCAGTCCACATGTCTACCTTGGGGCCAAAAATGAAATCAGTAACATTCCTATCACATGGATAATGAAATAACCAAGATACTGTTGCTAAAAGAAGAGTGACTTCTAGATGCATGCTGTGGTTTTATAAGTCTCCTAAAGCTCCTTGGGTTAAAGGTTTAGTCCCCAGGGTGGCCCTATTGGGAGGTGGTAAAATCTTTGAAAGATAGGACCCTAAGTCAGTGGGGACCATGCTTCTGCATGGAGATGGTCTCTTGCTCTACTCTTGGCTTGGGATGTAAGTTGTTGCTCTGCCATGCCATCAGGCACAAGTCAATGTCTGTCTTAGATGGGAACCTCCACAACCATGAGCCAAAACAAACCTTTTCTCTTTATAGTTATTTGCCTCAAATAATTCATTACAGTAACAAAAAGCTGACTAATAAAACACAAAAAAACTGAAAAACAAAAACTATAGATTCTACTTCACTAGGAGCCTGGGAAAGAAAAGATAGAATTTTATGATGTTAAACCTGATGCTGAGGTCAATGACCCACAAATTCAATTTCCTCTGTTTTGTAGGTGAAATCATTACTTCACACATGAAAAATAGAAAAGTCTTGCTTAGCGCCGAGGCACAAACCCACCCTCTCAGATTTGTATCAAAACTATGGGGAAAATTCATAAGGGCAGTTCCCCTAGAGCCATGGAAACCTCAGGAAGGTCTGAAAATTTCAGAATTCATAGGGATAAGTTCTCTCTTATATTTTGTGGGCAACTTTAATTGATGCCTTTTTATGGGAAGAATAATAGGGACTAAAAAGCGTACAAGATGGTATTGCTTCCTGACATTGGGTTCTCATAGCTGAGGTACAGTGCCAAAATAAGGACCTCAAACATGGTCCAATTTGCATGTTCTTTTTCAAGACCACATTACCTCAGAGACTTCCTATTAACAAACTAGAGCTGCCACAATGCTGATGGAGCCCAATGAGGAACTGCTAACAGGATGTGAACATGCTTAATGAAATGACCAACTCTTGCTGATTTATAGTCTACTAATTACCTGACAAATACCCAGGCTGTGTTCTCCCTGCTGGAATTGATAGTAGGCTGTCAATATGAGAAGGGACGAAAAGGCAGCTCAGGGTTGAAGAATAAAAAGGAACATTTGATGTATGAGAGTTAACACTGTTACTGTACATCAGCTTATCTCAGACTACCTAGAGTTGCACAGTCAGCCAAGTCCAAACTGGTATTTTTAGAGAAATCTAGAATGATTTAGGATCCCATCCAATTGTTAGGAAGGGGTAGTGCAAGGGGCAAGAAGCAGAGAAAAGAGAAAGCAAGCTAATCCTGCAGAAATCATTCAAGAAAAAGATACTCTTTTGCCAGGTACAGTGGGGCATGCCTGTAACCCTCAGCCTGTAATCCTTGGGAGGCTGAGGCAGGAGGATCACAAGTTCAAAGCCAGCCTCAGCAACTCAACGAGGCCCTAAGCAACTTAGCATGATCTTCTCT